GGTACAAATGTGACACTTGTACATGTGGATTTCCGAAGGATCTTTATGCGTTAACTGGTGGTATTTCAGACAATGTTTATATTTTGTTTCGAAAGCGCACAGACCACATTTGTGCATTTGGATTTCTGAAGGGTCTTTGTGTGATAACTGATGCACTTTTAGGTGATTTTTACGTTTCGTTTCGTAACTGCACGTGTCACATTTCCACATTTGGACTTCCAAGTTGTCTTTGGAAGGTTCCTCATTTAACTGATCCAGCGTGGAGGCTTCTTCACAGTATATGAGTTCCGAAGCACCCACATGATCACTATTTAACGCGTTTTCGTTTTCACTGTCATATGGAGGTACCTCTTCCAGTTTGCTTGCTTGAATTTCTCCTGGCTCGCAATTAAGCATGTATTCGTTCTTTATTTCTCCGATGTCTTCAAATTTGTGTCCCATTTTGTTTTCAATTGTTTCGTTATGTAAGTTGTAACCACTGAAAATAATAAAAATTTGTTCACAATAATGTAAATTTAAACGGAACAAAAAACTCTCCCCGACATTTTGAAAATTCAATTAACTAAAGAAGAAACATTTTCTTTTCAAAATTGTTTCTCCTTTACAGGTTACAAAATTTAATATCTAGTTTTTTTTTTGAAAATATGTTTAGTTAGTGTCGTGCTAACATTAATAATTTTTATAAATAAATCCAAAAAATCATGTTGCGTAGTAAATTTGTACATATTTAGAATACTAGATGGCAATGGGGGTTTCGTGTTATGATACATCTTGTCGCCATATTGTCTTTTCGTGTTACCGAATTATCGGTCAGTGATTAGTAGTGTAAGCAAACGTCCCGTTGTTTCTTGCTGTGTTGTAGCCATTCACCATCGATATTTTATTATTTTGAGTTGTTTTTCTACTAGAAAGAGTGGGAAAGTGATACAAATTTTGAATGGTATAAAAACCATTTTATGTGAAAATCTAGGCCAGAATAACGAGGAAATAGTTCAGGAAGAAGATAATATAAGTATTATATGCACTCCATATTTAATTTTTTTTTATTATTTGGTTTAAAATTTAAAGAAGTAGCTATTTTTTGTTTAATTCCTAACCAGAAACATTTTATTAATTTTTAAGTCTGTAATGTGCATGTTTTTGTTAGTTTTTAAATTTGTTTCAAATGTTAATAAACCACTTTTGTTTATTTTCAAGTTTTCTTAGCAAAATAAAGTTTTTATGTTTGCATTACTACTTATAATAATGTTTATATCAATGTTTGTTAATAAGGTTTTTAGCAAAACCAAATTAATCCTGTTTAGTTTTTGTTATATTTTTTACAAATATAATTTTTTGAAATTAAAATTTGCATAAAAAGTTTTATGATGCCCCCAATAGTATTTGCTAATAAAATAAATGAAAGAGTTAGTACTTTTTGCGTTATGGAAAAGTCGTTTATGGTAGATTTATTTGGTTTTGCTCCAAAGCTCCTCAATTATATGTCTATCGCGATTATTACCTATTTAAATACAGGGTGTTCCTAAATAAGTGTCGCAACGGAAAACTGTAAATTTCTCTTAAAAAGAGAAACATTTTTTTTCTCTCTTCCATTTTTCTCTCCAGGATTTTGTTTTCGAGATACCCAGTGTCAAAACTTTTTTTCAGATTTTTGCCAATATCTTAGGAACCGTTTGAACTACAGGACTGAGCTTTTGTATACACATTACCACTATTAATAGCTACTTGTTGCAAATGCTGTTAAATTTCGTTAAAATTTTTAATTATTACTACCCATCTTTAAATTACAAAAGATTTTCGAAACGTTAGCAAAATATTTGGTTTTGTTCATAAAAAGTCATTTTTCTTGAAAACGATTGACTTTAGAGCAATGAGCCAAGAGAACTCTTTTTGTGTAAAATTCATTGGCGCTTCAGAATTTGCTGTCAAATGTTAATTTTTCCAGTGGCGTAAAAGTTGGGGGGGAAAACCCTTACGATACCTTAAAATCTCCACCACTGGCACGTTCAATGAATTCGAGAAGGGTGTGAAAAAGTAGCTATTAATAGTGGTAATGCGTGTACAAAAACTCAGTCCTGTAATTCAAACGGTTCCTAAGATATTGGCAAAAAATTTTTAAAAAATTGAAGTTTTGACACCGTGTATCTCGAAAATGAAAGCCTGGAGAGAAAAATAGAAGAGGAAAAGAATGTTTCTTTTTTCAAGCGGGATTTACAGTTTTCCGTTGCGACACTTATTTAGGAACACCCTATATATTTTCCTGAACAAATAAAAGATTCTTTTGTACAGATCTGACACCATAAACAGCTGAATGAGATCAAAGTGCTAACAATTTAGTGAAATTGTTGGTTTATGTGTGCTGTGGTGTTAGTGCATATAATTTTCTATTTTTTAATCAGTTTAATACGTTTTTTTTATGAATACACGAATCTTGAAGTTAAATTATAGTCAACCGTGATTTTAGTTTTGAAACTGCTAAAATGAACAATATCCTCACCTAAAAGTTACATTGCCATAAAATAAAACGTTAGTTAAGAAAGACATATTTAAATCTGTACAGTGTAATTCATTAACAATGGGAAAATCGAAAGCTGAAGAAACTCACGTGAAATGATGACCATGCACAAAATCATAGAAAATGCTATTAGGTACATTTTTTTAAGTACCTAGCTATACTTGTTAAACAGTCAATCATTTTGGTCCGTATTTAACTTTTTCTGTTTTTCTTTATTTTCTGACGTATTTTACGTAAGTTTAAAATGTCGACTTAAAATAGGTGACGACTTCATGCAATCTGATTGGTCGCTGTACCGTTAAAGTATGTGATTTATTACTTATCATCATTTATAGAATGCAGCTTACATTTTAAGTGTCTTTAATGCATTCATTGGATTAGATTCATTATTCGCTACCTAGAGATTGATTCTATAGTTGTGTATCTCTGTTCGGAATCTAGCTATAATTGTGAGCATAAAAGTTGTATTATTATTTAAATTATTCTTAGGATTTATGGTAGACTAGCAACCAGTATGCTTGTAACGATGATGTGTTTGGTCGTTTTGGTTTAAAAATGACTTGACCGCTGAACCAAGGAAGATGTAATTGTTTTTGCTCCCAGAAACACATTTTTCATATATTGACACTGACATTTTGACATGGACATAGAAAAGTATATTATTTTGTACATTGTCATTAATAATTTTTTTTTTAATGAACTATGACCATCTATATATTTAAATTATCTAAATTTTTCTCACCTTTGCCAACCATTCCCTTCACTTTTAATGACAACTTCTTCAGTGTTAATCAGTATTTTGTTCGCTTTTAATTCTTTTTCAATTTCGACTGATTGGTCCATCTTCTGTTCATCGTCGTTTTCGATTTTAATAAAAGTGTTTTGGGGCTTGAAATCCGTAATTTTGTTGTCACCTGCGGCGTAAATTTTCAGTTGAACTTTCAAACAGGTCCTTATGAAAGTGTCGTGAATGCCGAGTGAACCAAAACATTGCCTACAAACGACGGGATCTTCGGTGATGCCAAAATTCTGCAACATAAGAGTTCGTAAAGGTTTTGTTATAAGGATGACAGCTCTAGAATGGATACTTACCACTTCTGGGATATATCTGTGAATCATTTCTAACATAATGTCATTCAATAACACAAAGCCTTCCATGGCTAACTGTAAGCATAATCGACATATTTTCTGATCATTTTCCATTTTAATTGATGCTTCGTTCTCGTGATCTTTTAAGTAAACTTCTCTTAAGTCGATGAAGGGCACTTTGGGATTAATATCAGAAAGGATCTTATCCTCAACGTAGAGGCAAGTGGATTTAAAGTCGAACGCAGAGTACAGTTTAACAGAACAGGTAGAACACATGACATCTTTATAGTTGTTGTCAAAGTCCTGAAATGTCCTTTAAATTGAACGAAGAAAGCAATTTGACTAGCAATATTAATAATGTATATTGAATAACAAACTTACCAGGTTAAGCGAGACTGTCCTTAAAATTTCCTTTATAGATTCGTCTATCACTGTAAAATTTTCAAATTTCACAGTATTAATGCAAAGCCTGCAGGAGATTTCTTTAGAGTCTTCCATTTATGTATTATTTCTGCTTTTTTCACTATAATTAACATAACAATAAACATAACCTCTTATTTATCAGCATAGAGCATAGACATTAGACAGAAAGTCATGGCAAACCGTTTCATTAGCTGTTTAATAATATTATATAGAGACAAGTCCAACCACTGGATGGAGCTACAGTAGTATCTTTTATATTCTCTTCAGCCTAGCCCTTGTAATAGTCCCTATATTGGCAAGTTTTTATAAATATAAGCATTAGATATAGAGGACAAGAGGGTACGTCTAATTGTTGACATTACCTATGGTCTATAAACTAATATTAGCATGCAGTAAGGATGGATGGGTAGCGAAGCACGGACCTGTCTTTTGCTCCAGGAGTTCAGTCACTGAACCTAGGGCACCTATTAGTCCTTATTTGAAATAACTAGGTTCGCTGGTTCCGTCATTCGTTCATTGAATTAAGTTTATATACGGATGAAGCACTGCACAATAGTAAATTTACAGGTCCAAAAAAAATATAATTTTAAATAATGCATTCTTTTATTTGAAGAACAAAATATATAAATAAATAAAACATACTTATAAATTAAATAAATAAAAGATGTTCAGTATAGTCATTTTAACAAGTAATTCGCGCCATTATTCTATGGCTAGAAATTGGCCTCAATGATTTGGGATCGAGGGGGATTATCCCTCTTTATCCTGCCTCATCTCGTGTAGGCCTGGACAGCCTTCGTAGGTGGGCCCCATNTGTTTGCCGTTTTCCAGCGGGTATACAAGTAATTCAAACAAAAATTCGCAATAGTTTATAGTATGCCCACTGGAGGCGCTGAAGGGTTAAATTAACTCGGTGTTGGTAGCGTTACATCTTCTGTATTCTGTGTATGCTTTGTGGAAAAAAGCTAGGTTATGTAATGATTGCTTGATTTGTTTGGTTTGGAATATTTAAAATTCCTTTTCCTCTTCGAGAAAAATGTAACCAGGAAACTTTATAGATATATTTTGCAGAATGTGTTAATATTATAAGCCCTAGAAATTCCGAAATAATAGGAGAAGCCATAAGAAAAACTCTAGAAGTACTTTTACGAAAGTAAGACAAAGTCACTTCACTTTTAATGTACTCGTATACGAGAAAGCTCTTTTTGATACCTTTAATTACAAATATGCAACGTGCAAGAAGGAGCTAAACATGTAACGTGTAAAGTATACTCGGTAAAATTATTTGCCGCTTTTAATTTTAAATTGACGTGGATACTGAGGGTATTATCTTTCCTTATACTAACGCCAGTTAAATGTCAGTGGTTGATTTAAAACAAGTTTATCTAAAGCAAAAAGGAAATATTCACCTACTCGATATATCAGAAAATGAGAGAATTTATGTTTGCAGTTAGTAACATTACGATTTGTGTGGATGTTGACATAATCATACATACATACCCCAAGAAGTGTTCATCAATCCAGAAACAATTAATGTCTCCTTGAATGCTTCAGTGTTTTTCTTTAAGATGTATTTATTGGATCCTTTTTCTTATAATGTTCATTTCGATAATATTATTTTAACTTGCAACGAACTGAAATAGTGAAGTCTTTTTTTTATAGTTATAATCAAAACAATTGTCTCTTAGTTTTTGTAATCTTTTAATTTTTTTTCTGTAAGTAAGTATACTTAAAGTTCCTGCTGTAGTAGTTTTTTTTTTAATAAATATATATTTCTTCCCCACGATATTAAAATATTTTTATTATTTTAGAATGTCGATGCTACCAAAGACCCTGTTATATATGGACCATGTTTTGATTTGCTTCTTACTCACTGAGGTTTCTTAAAGAGCTGCACTGAGGCGCAGGAGAAATATAGAAGTGCCGATAAGCTGTTTTATAGTAAAAGTTAAATGATGGAAACCAAACTGGAAGATGATGTGCAAGAAATATGTGAAGTCGTTGATAAGTCATCTTATATTAAAACTGAAGGGATTCAAATAAAAATGGAAGCATTGGGATACGCAGGAGAAACATGAAAACATGGATAAGCCGTCTTTTATTAAACTTGAAGAAATTGAAATAAAACTGGAAGATGGTCATGATATACAGGAGAAATGTGAAAACATGGACAAACAGGTTTATATTAAATATGAAGAAGAAATAAAAGGAGATGATCAGACTAGGTAGGGAAATGTCAACGAAATTTAATAATTTTAAAATTTAGTGCACTATCGTTTGAGGTTTTTTTTGTAATGATATAGAAAATATTAAATTTGAAAATCAATCAGATATTTATACTAGTTTTTAGTTTTTTTTTTACATAAAAGATGCAATCAAACTCTCGAAAACAATTTTTATATTTTTGATGATAAAGCTTCGTAACTTTCCATAAGCTTACAGATAATTTAACGTTCTATATAGGAAATCTGATGACATTTAAGTTTTTCAGTTTGATGTCAGAATAACCAATAGGATATTTTGGTGAAGTTAAGAAAAGGCAAAATAATTACATTTATTTATTTGAAAATCAAATTTATTAATTAATGGGTTAATGTGATAGTAATAAAAGGTGTCACAAAATTCATATCAGAAGTCATTTTGATAGGTTTTGAATTAAAAATGGCATATACTTACGCACTTTTTTTATCAAAATTTTTCATGGTACCGTTTTGCATTGATGCGACTAACTTTCATTGATCAATTTCCTTCTTCAAAGCTTGAGTGGTCGTGGGCTTATTGGCATAACCCTTAGACTTTAAAAAACCCCAAAGAATGAGTCCAACGGCGTTAAATTGCATGATCTGGGCTGTTCTGATTACTACTTATTTTCAGGGAAGTATATCAAAAAACTGACTATGTAAAAATCTACATTTGACATCGCATTAACATAATCGTAAATAAAATATTTTGCAACCAATGATTAGCACTACCCAGAAACCAAATTATGTCATTTTATTCGCCGAAGTGGGGAATAATTTTTTGGCAGTTAACTCCAATAATGTTTTTGGAACTGATCTCGCCACTATTTTAAAGTAACAGGTTGGTGACAACTGAGGAGCTGCTAAGTCACAGAATAGTAAATGTTGCTTCTTCTTTTTCTAACACTAATTGAAAACCTCTAGTTGTGAATATAATAATGAATACCCTACATTCCATTTGTTAATTTAAAGTATCTAATGATTTAGTTTTATAATATCCCATTTAAGGCTGTTGTTAAGATTTATGTAAAAATGTAGCACTCTTGTAGAAATTAGACTTAAGAAAAATTTGATTCACAAAGGAAGTTTCCAAACGTAACTTTAGTGATAAATTGCTGCAAGAGAAATTCATTTGCCCCTTTGAATGATTGAAATAACACTATGGTACGATTTTGGAAATTCAGATTTGATTTGGAAAAAATTAGATACTTAAAAAAATGACGTAACTACAATCTTTATGTTTTATTTTAGTATTTAACTGACATGAGTTCAAATGGAAAAATAAAAATTGAAAATGTACAGTTTATGCAACTTAATCATTAACTAATCTATGATCTACAATCTACATTATCCCATTTTAAATAAAGAATAAAATTTGTAGATAGGCAATGTAATTTTTAAGGATGAATCTATAAATTAAAGAAGCAGAAAAATTTCCAAATTTTTTTAGTGATTTTTGAAAAGCTGTAACTTCGTGAATATCTTGAAGCTTGAATTCTAGCTTGATTCTAGTTTTGAAATCTTGAGATGAAAAATTTTTTTGAGGATCACTCGGCGCAACCAAAAGAAATAATGCAAGGCAAAAATTTTGAATTTTTTTCACACTGCACATGGGCTCAAAAAAATTTTTTTGATGCCAATTGGTTTGTTTTTTTTTTATTTTCTACATACATCTATTTCTCATTGAGATATCGGCTATTGAGTGAGAAGTCACCTTTTCTATTGATTTGATCATCGATATCTTATGAACTAATGATTGTACAGCAAACGGAAGATGGGTTTTAGAAACCTTTACAAATATTGTGAAGAGTACCATCGTTTGTAGGTTTTTTTCAGCTCAATACATGTCCATGATGTTCGTAAATTTTGAAATCGATCAGTCAAACCGTTTTCCTTTCCTCATTCCTCAAAGTTTTATAAAAAAATTAAAGGAGTAGGTTTATTGCTCCTTAAACGTCAATTAATGATTAAGATGAAACAAATTTTTTGCGTTATTTTTCTCACAATTTCGCGTTAAATACTTATCAAATATTGAGGAAAAAAATAAATTTTGAAAAAAATCAAATTTTTCAAAATTTTTAAAAAATTTGCGTCCTCGTTTTTACAAAGTTACATTGAATATTTCAATATCAAGAAATTATTTTATTTTTTTTAATTTAAAAAAGCTTTGAAAAACCAATTGATGATAAAAAAAAGGTGACTTCACTTAATAGCCGATATCTCGATGAGGAATAATCATACAAAAAATATAAAAAAACAAATTGAAGCTGATGAATCAGGCAAAATGACCCTGGCATTGATTGATCCAAAAAAAATATTCTGAGCCCATGTGCATTTTGAAAAAAAAAAAAATCGTAAACTTTTTGCCTTGCATTATTTCTTTTGGTTGCGCTGAGAGTGATGACCAAAAAAATTATTCACCTCAAGATTTCAAAACCAGAATCTTCAAGCTTCAAGATGCTTTTTTTTCTCGATACTACCATTATTCCCGAAGTTACTACTGATGCAGTTCAGCTGATCACCATAAGAGTAGGGAATGGACTGTATCTTTTATTTTTCTTGAATAATGCGAAGTTGGAAATGTAGACGGTATATTTTCTTACTAATTACAATAACAATGTGAAATTATGGGAAAAGTAAAGTTTCTTATTTAATTTTTTGATGTCAAAAATACAATTCTTGTTTCTTAACAAATTCAATTCAGAGAGAATTTGTTTTTTGTGAAAAATTCCGTTGCCTAGATGTATAATTATTTGTTGATTAAACTATTTATTATAGAATCACAACAGCCTTTCGAAAATCACAAAAAAGATTTGGAAATTTTTTTGCTGAGTTTATTACAGACTAATAGTAGTTTATAGAGATATAAATTTAAAGAGAAATATAAAATTGAACAAGTACTTTCATTTGTGAATAATTAAAATTTTTTTCAGTGACATCTCATCGGGCGACTTAAATGGTGAAAACAGTGAAAATAGAAAAACGCGCACTTTGGAAGATATAGAAGAAATAAAGGATGAATGCATGGATAAAGGTGAGACAGAATTCAACAAAAACTTCACGACATCGATGTTAATTCGCAAGCTGTTAGGTAGCCGAATATACAAGTGCAACAGTTGCAGTTTCGAAACCAACTACAAGAGAAACCTTTATAATCATCAACTGACACATCAGATTCTCTCGTACAAGTGTGATACGTGTAGCTTCGAAACCAAGCGTAAAAGTTATCTGAAGAAACATCAAGTGTTGCACAAAGACCCTTCGGAAATACGAATGTGGAAGTGTGATAGGTGTAGTTTCGAAACCAAGCACAGTAATTGCCTAAGAGGGCACCAACTGTTGCATTCTACAAAAGATCAATTGTACAAGTGCGACACGTGCACTTTTGAATCTAAACACGTGAATGAGATGAAAGCGCATCAACTGACGCACAGGATCCCTTTGAAAATCGAAACGTACAAATGTGACGAGTGTAACTACGAAACTAAGCACGAGGGATACCTGAAAAGACACCTGTTAACGCACAAGTATTCTCCAGAAATCCAAATATACAAATGTGATGCTTGCACCTACGAAACTAAGAACAAGAGCAACTTCAAAGTGCACCAGTTGAAACACAAAGATAATTCGGAAATAAAAATGCACAAATGTACCAGTTGTGCATATGAAACTAAATACAAGAACTGTCTAAAAGCTCATCAATTAAAGCACAAAGACCCGTCGGAAATCCGAATGTACAAGTGCGACACTTGTAGCTTCAAATCTAAATATAAACGTTGTGTGAAAGATCATCAAGTGAAACATGAGAAAACTTCTGTGGCACACGAGTGAGAATGTGGCGCACGAAACTATGGTCGCTACCACAGTTGCATGTGACGTTACTTCAGAAATGACAATTGTTACTAGGTAAAGTAATAAAACGTTAACAATATGGATTTATATTTTAAAAATTCAGTGAAATTAAATAGATATAAAACGTGTATCACCCTATACATGAAGTATCTTAACTAAGCCTTTTGCTACACTCCGTTGATATTTTTATGTGAAATAAAATTTTAAAACGATTGGAACACAAAATTAAGATTTTTTTATTTGTGCAGAGAAACTTTTAAAATGTCGAATAACTATCAAACAATTATATAAAATTAATTATAGGTTTATTACTAATACCTCGTGATCTTTTTCTATCATCACCTTATTTTGATGTATTGATCTATTGAGCTTCAAACTGTAAGTAATAAAACTGTTTTCAATTTTGTAGTTATGTCTGCATATTTTTCAACAATTTGCTTAACTTTCCCTGATTTATTAAAGTGTTTTCAAGACCATTTCCCATGTGTATCTTTTTATAATTTTGACAAAAGAAATTGTTGCATCAAACAATTGTGTAACGTTTTGTCACTGAATACAAATCTACAATACTCCTTGTATAAATTGTTATTTAATTTTAGAAGACAAAATGTCCTTAAAAATGCAAACTTTTTGTATATGTTCGTTTAATGAAATGTTTTTCTGCTATTTTAACGTGTATGTTAACTCATATTTTAAGTTTTGTCAAGTGTCATATCGATTACAACTAAAATGAAACTATTTCTTACAACATGAACATATATTTTGTATAAAAAATATGTAAAACTAGGGTAAAATCTTTTATTATTTTGCAGTTTTCGCGCGAAACTTAGCTCTCTGTCTGGTAAACAGTTGTGCTAGTATTACTTTCTACAGTTTTGAATAGAGTTTGCCTTCTTTTCCAAGATGTTCTGTGGTTGTAATGAAATTTTAAAATTAAAGAAAATTAGTTAAAACAATGTTGCAGAAAATTAAAAAATAGAATAGAAATGAAGCTGGATGAGATGGAAATAAACACCTTAAAATTTCAATTGTACCAAATTTAAAGCGTTTAATTATGTTGGAAAAAACAAAAATGCTTTAGGTATTGAACTGATTGTTTATTAAATGTTAATTAATTATTAACAATTTTTATTAAATTTCTGAAAAAAACATAATAGCTATCCCATTTATAAGTCAGTTCTGCTATTGTCCGCAATGTTGATCGAGAACTATCGATAGTTGATACCATCGATAATAATCTATAGTTAACGATAATTCTCGATATTACTTTGCACTTTAAAAAAAACGGTTTTATCAACAAAATTTAAGTTAAGAATATTTTATTTAATGTAATATTGAAAATCAAATTGGTGAGAAACAATACAATGACAGAAGGGGCCTTCATAGAGTTTGCACAAATTAAATTTTAACTCCAAAGAAAATTAAATTTTATGAAAAATTAAAAAAACCTGTCAATGAAGAAAAATATTTTACACATATACGTGCGACCTTACCCCAGGGTGGGCTTTCCTCCCCTAAAAAATAATATGGATTTCATGCTTATCAAAAAAAAATAACCACTTCAAATTTTACCAGCTGCCGCTGTACTTACAAGGTTTAAAACGTAAATAACAATGTAAATTTTATTTTAAATTAAAATATATAAATAAAATTGAGGATAATAGGTAATACCTAGAGTCAGCAAATTTGTGTACTTTTGCATCATAAGAAATAGTACTTCTAAATTCTTCATTGCTAATATTGTTTCCAATTTTTAAATTTCTGTCAATTTCCATATAAGCTCTAGCTTCATAATCTTCCTCAGATGTCAAATAGTACATGTACAGTTTCAATTATTAATTTCCCACGTTTGTGCTGTAAAAGGGTTCTCTCTCATGTATTAATTGATGATTTTTGAGATAATTTCATAATTACTTGTCTTACACTGTTACACTTGAATTTCCGTAGGAGCTTTGTGCTTTAACTGATGTGATTTCATACGACCCTTACGTTTAGTTTCAAATGTACAAGTACCACATTTGTGCATATGAATTTCTGAGGAATCTTTGTGTGTTAATTGATGTGATTTTACGTTCCGTTTAAATTTACTTTCATAAGTACAAGTATCACACTTGTACATTTGGATTTCCGAAGGGTCTTTGTGTGATAACTGATGCGTGTTTAGAACACTCTTATATTTAGTTTCATAGGTACAAATATCACATTTGAACATTAGGATTTCCGAAGGTTCTTTGTGCTTTAATTGGTGCTTTTTTATACCACTTTTATACTTAGTTTCATAAGTGCACGCAGGACATTTGTACATTTGGATTTCCAACGGGTCTCTGTGCCTTAATTGATGCAATTTTAGATGCCTCTTATGTTTAGTCTCATAACCACATTCATCACACTGGTACAATTGGATTTCCGAAGGGTCTTTGTGTGATAACTCATGTTTTTTCATTTGAACCTGATGTTTAGTTGTAAAGTCACATGTATCGCACTTGTACATTTGGATTTCAGAAGGGACTTTGTGCTTTAACTGATGCTTTCTTAGACCACTTTTATATTTAGTTTCATAAGTGCAAACATCACATTTGTACATTTGGATTTCTGAAACGTCTTTATGCCTTATCTTATGTAATTTCAGATGTCTCTTATGTTTTGTCGCATAACCACATGCATCACAATGGTACATTTGGATTTCTGAAGGGTCTTTGTGTGATAACTCATGCCTTTTCAATTGCCCCTTTCGTTTAGTTTTAAAATCACATGTATCGCACTTGTACATTTGGATTTCAGAAGGGTCTTTGTGTGATAATTGATGATTATTTAGATAACTCTTATATTTAGTTTCAAAAGTACAAATGTCACACTTGTACATGTGGATTTCTGACGGATCTTTGTGCAATAACTGATGTACTTTTAGATGTCTCTTATGTTTAGTTTCAAAATCACATGAATCACACTTGTACATTTGGATTTCTGAAGGGTCTTTGTGTAATACCTCATGCCTTTTCAATTGTTCCTTATGTTTACTTTTAAAATCACATGTATCACACTTGTACATTTGGATATCAGGAAGGTCTTTGTGTGATAATTGATGCTTATTTATATAACTTTTATATTTAGTTTCAAAATTGCAAGTACCACACTTGTACATGTGGCTTTCTGATGGATCTTTGTGCTTTAACTCATGCATTTTTAAATGTCTTTTATGTTTAGTTTCAAACCCGCATAAATCACATTTGTACATTTGGATTTCCGAAGGGTCTTTATGCAATAACTGATGCCTGCTTAGAACAAGCTTATATTTAGTTTTCAAACTACATTTATCACACTTATACATTTTGATTTCCGAAGGATCTTGGGGTGTAAACTTGCGATAAGTGGAACTTTTCTTACGATGTATAAGACCCGGAGCAACCTCGTGTGTCAGATCACAGTTAAATGCATCTTTGTATTCACTATTATAAGATGGAACATCTAAAGGAGCCTCACACTTGCTTATTTGAACCTCAACTGTCTCACATTTAAGCATGTCTTCATTCTTTATTTCTCCTACACCTTTGTAAATGTGCCCTATTTTGTTTTGGATTGTTACATTATGTAAGTCGAAGGAAGAGGAATCACTGAAAAAAAATGAAATTGTTCGTATATACATTATATATATATTACAAACCTGACATACATTTATTTTCCAAGAAATATTTTGAAGAATCGATCAACTATTACAGTTACACTATGGATCTTATCACAAATAATTTAATTTATTCTTTAATGCAGATAAAAAAACTGAAATAAATTTAAATTAGAAATGCTTTTTTCATGAAAACTTGGATAATGAAATTTTGAAAAAGTTATAATATTTTCGGTGGCTGTATAAATAATAAGCACATATTTTGATGACACTGGAAAAAACCTTTAATTGAAAGATATTTTTATATTTAACATTTTTTTTAATTCTCAACTGTTTTTGAGGTACAGCAGTTGAAAGTCAGTTTTCCTGAAATTCTTGGCCTTCGAATATGAATAATGGGTGATGGAAAAGTGTAGTATATTCAAACATTTTTCTTTAAAATGAACGTATAAAAATTTTGCAGAATGAATAAAAAATGTATGGTAAGGGGCTCATTCAATATTTAATTTATAACAATTTCTGTAAATAATTAATACCCTAAATATAAGGTGAAAAACCAGGTTAGTAGCATTAATATTAATGATGGTAAATAATTTCTAATTTGTGAATATTTGAAATGGTTTATGCCGTTCGTAGAGCATTTGTGACGTCACATCACTCGACTGTCCTAACATGCTATTAATTATTGCCTCCAGTTATTTTTTTGTAAATTTAATTCTAGTTGTTCCTCTGTTTATTAGCACCTGTGTTAGTTAAAAAATTAATTCATTTTAGATTTTAAAGTAACTAGATTTGATTATATTGAAGAAAAATGTTTGAATAGACACTCTAACTTCATCCATTTTTCAGCTGTCAAGGCTGACAATTTATTAACTTTTTAAAACTGTTAGTGAGCGACCTAGAAAATAATTAAGTAAAACAGATTGCATATGGATGGCTTAGGGATGTGTTATTTTTTTGATATCAATGTAGATGAAGTGCCAAATACTTTTTTTTTAAGTAGTAGTAGTAGTAGTAGTAGTAGTAATTTCTGATTCTGTTTCCATGACCCATGACAAAAAAAAATAGGAAAGCAAAAATTGATAGTTTTGCTTAAAATGCTATCAATTTTTCCTTACACTCTAAAGTTTGGCAGAAAATCGCAATAAAATCTGAAGTGTAGAATTCCCGTGCCATAATTATAAACAAGTATGAGTAAATAACCGTTGTCTGAAGACAATGAGTTTTGAAGATCGGGTGAGCGTAATTTGATTTCTGTCTAATGCTACCTTTGGAACAATCAGAGCCAAGTAGCTACAAGAACTTTTTCAGATTTTTCCTAAACAAAAATTGTTCTACCCAAGGAAAAATTATTAAAATATTAAAGTGCTTAAAATCCATATACAGTATGTTACTTTTAATTATTTATTAATGAAAAGATTGGTACATATATACACACATATTAATTTGTGTCTGAATATACAGTGTGTCCAAGATAAGGATGGGATAGCATTAGGATCTAGGAAATGGTAAGAGATATGGGGCGGCTCAAGTTAGAAAAAAGTAGTTTTTTTATACCTAACCATATGCCGTTTAGAAAGTTTTAAAATTCCCGGTAGTTCCGGAGATATCCGAAAAAACTCGAAATTTTGCAGTCATTTTATTTTTTTCTGGCTTTATTTGAAAACGGATTTTAAAATAAATTGCATAATCACATTGCCAGTTTTTCCGCTCTATCCAATGGCATCAAAATTTTTGCTATTCGACTTTTCGTCTTCGTGGTGCTATCAGGTTAATTTTTTTAAACACGTCGCTGTTATTTTTATGAGAAAATCTAAAATCATTTTTAATTCTGAATTAGATGATGTTACTATTGTTATCTCTTAGAAAGGTTTTTAGCTTGTTTTAGCTATCATTAAAAATTTTTCCCGAGTACGGCTCTGAGCACTTTCAAAATATCTATTGGAGGAAATCATAACAGTATAAAAGTCGATACAGCACAAAATATCCAACAATTTGTTTTAATAAATAATTTAAAAACGTACCTAATAANATTAAGTAAAACAGATTGCATTTGGATAGCTTAGGGATGTGTTATTTTTTTGATATCAATGTAGATGAAGTGCCAAATACTTTTTTTTTAAGTAGTAGTAGTAGTAGTAGTAGTAGTAATTTCTGATTCTGTTTCCATGACCCATGACAAAAAAAAATAGGAAAGCAAAAATTGATAGTTTTGCTTAAAATGCTATCAATTTTTCCTTACACTCTAAAGTTTGGCAGAAAATCGCAATAAAATCTGAAAAGTGTAGAATAATTATAAACATATATGAGTAAATAACCATTGTCTGAAGACAATGAGTTTAGAAGATCGGGTGAGAGGAATTTGATTTCAGTGTGTCCAAGATAAGGATGGGATAGCATCAGGATCTAGGAAATAGTAAGAGATATGGGGTGGCTCAAGTTAGAAAAAAGTAGTTTTTCTATACCTAACCATATGCCGTTTAGAAAGTTTTAAAATTCCCGGTAGTTCCGGAGATATCCAAAAAAACTCGAAATTTTGCAGTCGTTTTATTTTTTTCTGGCTTTATTTGAAAACGGATTTTAAAATAAATTGCATATTCACATGTCACTTCTTCCGCTCTATCCAATGGCATCAAAATTTTTGCTATTCGACTTTTCGTCTTCGTGGGGTTAATTTTTTTAAACACTTCGCTGCTATTTTTATGAGAAAATCTAAAATCATTTTTAATTCTGAATTAGATGATGTTACTATTGTTATCGCTTAGAAAGGTTTTTAGCTTGTTTTAGCTATCATTAAAAATTTTTCCCGAGTACGGCTCTGAGCACTTTCAAAATATCTATTGGAGGAAATCATAACAGTATAAAAGTCGATACAGCACAAAATATCCAACAATTTGTTTTAATAAATAATTTAAAAACGTACCTAATAAAAAAATAATACGAATTTATGAAATGTTTTAGTAATTCAAATTAGTATTGTTAATAGAAGTAAAAAAAGTTGTTGCACAAAATATTGTGCTTTGAAAAATTTTAAATGATAGCTAAAACAAGCTAAAAACCTTTTTAAGTGATTGCAATAGTACTATTATCTGATTCAGAATTAAAAATGACTTTAGATTTTGTCATAAAAATAGCAGCGACGTATTTAAAAAAATTAAGCTGATGATGGTCCCACGATAACGAAACGTCGGATTGCAAAAATGAATGTTGATGCCACTGGATAGAGCAAAAAACGTGGCTAAAATTCGTTTTCAAATAAAGCCAGAAAAAAATAAATAAAATGATTTTGCAAAAGTTGTTTTTTTTTCGGATATCTCCGGAACTACCCGGAATTTTAAAACTTTCTAAACGGCAGATTATTAGGTATGAAAAAAAACACAACTTTTTTCTAATTTGAGCCACCTCGTATCTCTTGTTGTTTCCTAGATCCTAATGCTATCCCATCCTTATCTTGGACAGACTGTATATGTACATTGTAATGTTTTTATGTTTCTGTAAAATCTTTCAATTAAACTGTATAAACTGTATTCTTCAAGGATAGTAGACAAACGCGGACAAAATAATGCCGAATTAGTAAACGTGCTGGCGTAATGAAGTGCCGGATTATAGAGATTCTACTGTAAAATCAGTATATCTGAATTTTTCTTGATTTCCTCACCTTTCTCGTTCCTCTCCCTCAAATTTTACATCAATCTCTTCAGTTTTGATCAGCGTTTCTTCTGTTTCTAGCTCTTGTTTAATATTAACTATTCCCTCCTTCATCTTTTCATCTCCTAATTCTATTTCACCATTTTCGCTTTTGATAAATGTGTCACAGGCCCCAAAATCTGCCAATTTGTTGTCACCTTTGTTGTGAACTTCTGTCTCAACATTCAAACAGGTCCTTATGAAAGTATCGTAAACAGTGAGCGAATCAAAACATTGCCTACAAATGACAGGATCTTCGGTGACTGTAAAATTCTACAACACAAGAGTTCGTAAAGATATCGGTAAATCTTTAAAAATTTATATTTACCTACCACTTCTGGGATGTATCTACTAATCGTGTCAAATTTCACTTCATAGAATGACATACAACCTTCCCTGATTAATTGTAAACATAATCGACAAATTTTCTGATTATCTTTTATTTTAATTAATGATTTGTTCTCCTGTTCCTTTAAATAAACTTCCCTTAAATCGACGAATGGTACCTTGAGATTAACACAAGAAACGATCTTGTCCTCAATGTAGAGACAAGTGGATTTAAAGTCAAAGGACGAGTACAACTTACTAGAACAGGTGTTACACATGACGTGGTTATAGTTGTCCAAGTCCTAAAATATATATTTTTTTAAAGAATAAATCAATTTGACTAGCAGTGCTAATGTACATGTGTTACTGAATTTACATGAAGATGGTTAACTGCGAATGAAAAATATTTTGTATAGTTTCAAATGAACTTACAAGATTAAGTGAAACAGTCTTTAAAATTTCTCTTGTGGATTCATCTATTACTGTAAAATTTTCATTGCTTACAGTATTAATACAAAGCCTGCAAAATATCCTTTTAGAAACTTCCATTTATATTTTTTTCTTTATCTTTAAAATTTATAAATTATAACCTATATTATGTATAACCACAGAACATATTTGAAATATTTGACATTGACATTATACTAGGATAGAACACAAAACAATAGAAAAAATTGTGTCACTAAAAAATTAGGAACTCAAAACCGAAGCGCACCTACCGGCCGTCAGGGTAAACTAAGAGGACCTATCGACTGACGAACGCGGTTGAATATGGTTGACTTAATGTTGATTGAATTTTGAAAGCGCATTAATACACTTGTAGACAACATTAATCATAATTGCAAGCATGTAATTAACAAAAAAGTAATAATAAACAAATATTAGTTTTGGTTATGGAAAATAATAAAAGTAGTGAAAAGAAAGAACAGAGTTAAAATAGAGATACATTTTCAAATTTAAACATTTTAAATGAACTTAGAACATATAGTTCCGATCACAGAAAGTTTTTCAGAATGAATTTTCCAAATTATTACAAATACAAGAGTAAAATGCAAAACTTCGGAAAGCTGTAACCTCTGTAAAGCTAATTACTATTTGGAAACTTCAACATTCCTGGCCAGTACCAATACAAGAAGTTCTTTACCACTGCCTTCATTGTATACTACCTACTGAAATTTAATTATTTTTAAAGAATTCATGAAAAGACAAAATATGAGTAATAATAGCTCATTATTCAATTTATATAAATCAGTTCCGACACCGTCTGCAAGTTGATTGGGTTGATGCTTACACATTGGTAAGTAAACGAATAACAGTTGTAAATTATCATTGCAACTTGTACAGTTAAAGAAATCAAGAAATATAGATTTAGTATTAATGAAAAACTACTGGATATTATTAAATGGAAACATAATAGAATCAAAATACCTACTATTTATGTTTACAATGGTTAAAACTGAAATAAAAATGTAAATATTTCTATAAATTTTATTTCAAATTAAAATACGTAATTAAGAAACAATTTGTTGAACCCTATACTCAGCGGTCTATTTTTGCATCATATATTAATAGGTACTTGAAATCTAAATCAGCTTCTAAACATTTATGTCGATTTCCTGTTAGAAAAAATATTACAATATATTACAATAAATACAAGTTTTTACATTGAAATATAAATGGTTTATAAAATACATGGGATATCTAGTTAATAAGGCCATCTACAGTCAAATGCTGAATATCGAATGTGTGGCTCCTTGTCTCCACTGCCCCAGTCGAGAAATTTGTTTATTTTATTTAGTCCTTATGTTGCCTCTCGGGTTAAGTGCTGACATTATCGGTCCTCTATTTCTAACAAAACCTCATAAATCCTCATCAGGAGCTATGGAGCTTGAATCACCCACTTCGTTGCATTTCAAATATTAATTTCCCACTTTTGTGCTCTGGAAGGGTTTTTTCTCATGTATTAATTAATGATTTTTTATACTTTTCTTACGTTTAGTTTCATTACATTTTACATTCGAATTTCTGTACTGGCTTTGTGCTTTAACTGATGCTTTTTCAGACGACTCTTACGTTTAGTTTCAAATGTACAAGTTTCACATTTGTACATGTGAATTTCTGAAGAATCTTTGTGTGTTAATAGATGTGATTTTAGATTCCTCTTAATTTTAGTTTCATAAGTACACATATCACATTTGTACATTTGGATTTCTGAAGGGTCTTTGTGTGATAACTGATGGCTGTTTAAAACACTCTTATGTTTAGTTTCGAAAGTACAACTGTTACATTTGTACATATGGATTTCCCAGGGCTTTTTGTGTGTTACCTGATGCTTTCTTAGACTATTTTTATATCTACTTACATAAGTACAAGTGTCACATTTGTGCATTTGGATTTCCGAAGGATCTTTGTGTGTTATGTGATGCAGTTTTAGGTATCTCTTATGTTTAGTCTCATAATTACATGCATCACACTTGTACATTTGAATTTCCGAAGAGTCTTTGTGTGATAACTCATGGCTTTTCAATTGCCCCTTACGTTTAGTTTTAAAATCACATGTATCACATTTGTAAATTTGTATTTCAGAGGGGTCTTTGTGTGATAATTGATGCTTATCTATATAACTCTTATATTTAGTTTCAAAGGTACAAGTGTCACACTTGTACATGTGGATTTCCGACGGATCTTTGTGCAATAACTGATGCACTTTTAGATATCTCTTATGTTTAGTTTCAAAACCACATGAATCACATTTGTGCATTTGGATGTCTGAAGGGTCTTTGTGTAATACCTCATGCCTTTTTAATTGACCCTTATATTTAGTTTTAAAATCACATGTATCACACTTGTACATTTGGACTTCTGAAGGGTCTTTCTGTGACAGCTTATGCTTATTTATATGACTCTTATTCTTAGTTCCAAAAGTGTTATGCTTGTCTTTATGAGATAACTGATGTCTGTTTAGAACAAGTTTAAATTTAGTTACAAACTCACATGTATTGCACTTGTACATTTGCATTTCTGAAGGATCTTCGAGTATAAACTTGCAGTAAGTGGAACTTTTCTTAGAATGTATAAGTTCTGGAGCATCCTCCTGTGTCAGATCACAGTTAAACACATCTTTGTATTCACTATTATAAGATGGAACATCTAAAGGAGCCTCACATTTGCTTATTTGAACCTGGACTGTCTCACGTTTAAGCATATATTCATCCTTTATTTCCCCTATATCTTCATAACTGCACCTCATTTTGCTTCCAACTGTGTCATTATGTAAGTTGTAGGAACAGAAATCACTGAAAAAATGTGGAACTGTTCACAAGTTCATAGGGAATAAACATTACAAATGAAACATAAACTTCTTTAAAAGTTATATTGTGGATCTTATCACAATTACATGTTTTTTTCTAAGTTCTTTATGCATATATATAAAAAAAAAGTTTAAATAAACAATTCAAAATGTTCTCATTGGAAGTTTTTTAAATGAGCAAAAACGTAGGTACTGATTTCTAATCATAAAAATAATGGTATAAGTTCTTATCCAACTTTCCCAAAATTCAATATCGATAATTAAAACTCTGCTATGATTTTCTTCACAGCTAAGCAATTTTTTTTTAATTTTGTTACATGTAAGTACATTGATCGACGCATTTTGCATGAAAACAACTGACGATACACTATACACTAGAAAAAACTTTTAGTTGTAAGATTTTTTTTCTGTTTAACTCTTTTTGAGGTATTAACCCTAAGGTGGGCCACTTTAATGTCACACTAGTGCAAATTGAGATTTTGCCAACTTTGAACCTTTATAACTTTTTTATTAGTTAACGAAAACATAACGTGTTTAATCAAAACTGGGGTAAAATTTTCTGAGAAATTGAATCATGTAAATAGTTTTGAAAAAAAATAATTTAATGAAAAATGCGAATGGAAAAAATTTTTTTCGAAAAATATTCGTATTTTTTTTAATAAATAATGGCTTGAGAAAAAGTAAAAAAATGATTTTAAAGTTCAAAGTCTATATTTTTAAGAAAAAAAAATCCATATTGACAAAATAATTTTATTTTTTGAAGTTGTGATTTTTGGCTCTTTTTCTGTAAACGTTTATTTTGTACTCTTTTGTATAAAAATATTAATTTAAACAATATTATCCATAAATATTGACAAATACATGTTACAATTAAATTAATGAAAAAATTTTTTTGAAAAATTGGAATAAACCATGTTCTAGTCTATTCGACAAGTAAAATGAGGTGAAAAAAATCGAAAATTTGCACTTCAATTCACTTTATTTCCAGATTATATGATATAATAAATATAAAAAAAGAATTATAAAATAACAATACAAGAATTGTCAACTAATCCATGTTATGAACGCACTCGACACACAACGGGGCACGGTGCTCATCGCACATGCGACGCATACAATTCGGGCACTTTATGCGAGTGCGCCCCCTTGCGGTAGACTTGCAGAAGTGACATTTGGCTCGGGTGTCCTCTCTTATAACGGTCAACGAATCGGCCACCGGCTCATCTTCTTGCAGCATCCGCGCAATCCTTATTTTGATAGAACTTCTAAGCGTTTTGACTTGAAGACGGCGGCGCAGCATCGGCTCGATGAGACTCCTCGCGAGATTTTTCGTAAAATCTGACCGCCTCATTTGTGCGTTCGAAGCTATCAGATTATGCAGAATGCAGGCGTTTAATCCTGCAATATCCAACATGTTATAAAAAAATCGCAGCGGCCACCGTCGGGTATGCCTTGCGGTGGAATAATCACGACAATTTTTGTCCATAGCGTCGGCGGTGCCTTTATATTTATTATAAAATAATGCCATAGTTGGCTTCTTTGTGGCATTATCGACGCTATTGTCGTGATGCAGAGACGACAATAAGAGAACGATTTTATTTTTTTTAGGAGTATATGATACTAAAGTCAATTCTTCAGTGAACACGAACCGGGAACTTCCTGCAGCTGCAGGTGCTTTTAAAGTCGCAGGGATTTCTCTGTCGTTTTTTCGAATCGTCCCGATAGCAAATAAATGCTTCGCAAGCAAAGATGTAAAAAGCGGAATTGAAGTAAAGTAGTTACCCATCGTGATAGTCCTTCTCGATTCGGCAATTTTAGCTTGTTCGACCAAGGTTTTTACGAAATATGTAGGAACGCTATCGTTTTCCTCCGGCGTTACTTTTCCGACGTAAGGCAGCGCTGTGATGCAATAAAAAGTATTCGAATCGTTCATCGTATAAATGAGTAAACCGTATTTATCTGGTTTATTCTTCATGTAAATTCGAAACGTACATTTTCCTCTAAATGAAACCAGCTGCTCGTCAATCGTAACGTTATTAGAAGGTAAATAATTGCGTTGGCAATTACTTATAAACAAGTCCCATATCTCTCTCACAGGAGCGAGTTTATCTTGTTGTCTACGCTCGACGCGAGTATATACGTCATCAAACCGTAGGCAGCTAGTTAAAAACTTGAATCTTTGAAGAGAAAAGGTTGAGTTGTACACTGGTCGCCCGCAATCGTACGAAAACATATCAGTCACATCTTGCTTATTGTCTTTGTACACGCCAGCATAAAAATTAACACCGATGTACGCTTCAATTTCAATATTATCCGTAGGTGCATGATACGACTGAACAACATGATTCTGGGATATCAAATCACGGACACACTCAGCGATACGTGCGTTGGTATGCAAAACTATAAGATTAATTATTTCGTCGGTAAATAGTACCTTAAAACCTTCTAAAGGGCTTGTTATATTAGAAGCGTCGTACTGCGGAGCTGGAGAGAAAGACGGAATGTCAGAGGAAGAGCGTGTATTTATTGCAGGTACATTTTCGGACCACGTCATCGGTTCCTTGCTCGCAGGTACAGATTTTCGAGGACGGTCTGTACTATGCTGACGCATGGCGTTCATCACGCGTCGCACTTTGTTTGCCGGCTCGGCTTCCTCATCAAAATCGTTGTCCTCTTCTACCTCCCCAGCAACGTCCTCTACTTTGCCCGAGTCGCTTTCCTCAGCTGACATTTCCTCCGGCCTCTCCTCCAAAGAAATGACGAACTCTTCGTCGTCACTGTTGGAGCAGCTGTCCTCCGCAGCATTCTCAATGTCCGATTCTTCTAACGCCCTTGTTATAGATTGGGCCGACCGTAGATTCGGCCAACGCGCCGCCATTCTAGAACATTCGACGTAATACGTGTAATATTTATCTTACTTGAATTCACATTTTATTTACATAAATCTATTTTTTTACTAAATTTAGTCACGACTAATGAAAAAGAAAAATTGCAAAATTTCCAAAACGGCATTAAAGTTTAAATAAATTATTTAAACGAAACATTATTTTTCATCAAAATAATGGCATATATTTCACTTACGGTGTTGTTGGATGTTTTCCGATGAAAAATAAGGATTTTTCAAAAAAAATACAGCCACACATTTGCCCGCACTTAAGTCACACTAGTGCGAATTCGCACCGATCACACTTTTCAGACTCTAGTTTGGCCGACAACAACAGACTGAGGTCAGCTCCTAGCTGTGATATGGCTCGACTGTATGGGCTATAGAAGGAATTCTTGTGGTGGGGGGAATCCTCACCAGCTGCTACCTGAGAAACACCAGCTGTTAAAAGAAAACGGTTGTGCGAATTCGCACTAGTGTGACCTCAGCATTGATATATGAAAAATGGATGGGGTTGGACGAGTGCGTATTAAGAGAAATGTATATTTGAATTTTTTTCTTTAGAATGAATGGACATATATAGGCTATGTTCCGTAATCTGCTAATTTTACTATCAGCGCTATTGCAGAAACTGCAATATCAAGTCGTTCCGTTAAATGAAATTTCCAATTTTTGCGTCAAATAACGGAACAACGTTTAGCACGTTAACTAGCAATTGTGGTCTTCCGTCAAGAGTTTGCCAAATAATTTGAATTATGAGGTTGTATAGTAATTACATTTATTTTGTCGACTTTTTTGATCTTTTTTTTTACAATGGGAACTGCAACTGCGATAGCGCTATTTTGTAATTCGTTTATAGATATAGATTCTACAAATGATAGTGAAGATGATAAAGACATTTTTTATGTGATAGAATAAACTAATTGTAAATATTCAAGAACAATAATTCAAAATTACATGGAAAATGTACTACATCTTTATTATGTCGTCGATTATGCGTAATATAGCCATTTTGATTAAACCTTCGTCTAATGTGTAGTTTGGTTTTGTTTACAAACAGACATTAGACATCATACTGTCATCCCCCCACCAATCTGCTGCAATCACACTACCTCTTGAGGTTTAGCAGAATTAGCAGTCGATGTTATGTAGAAATAGTAGTATTTTGACGTTTATTCCGCTAATGCAGGCTGCTGTAAAGCTTGCGAAATTTATTTTCGCAATGTAAAATCGTGCTCACAGTACTTTCAGCTAATTTCGGAACATAGCCATAGTCATTTTGCTGAACAAATCAAAATGTAACAATTTGCACATTTTTTGAGATTTCTAATTTTGTGTAACATCAAGACTATTTGAAAAGTGTCATATAATTTGATTCATTTTGTAAAACAACTTTAGATACCTCTATCTGGAAAAAAAAATGTTTGAATAAACACTCCTCCAACCCCATTAATTTTTTGTTTTAACATCAAAAATATAAAAAAAACTATGTAGAAAAATCTTGCAATTAAAAGTTCTTTCTAGTCTCATCAAAATAAGGATGCTTCTAAGAAAAAAAATAAGAACGCCATCGATTGACGCATATAACGTTTTTTTTTTTTTATTCTACATTTGTGTGACAGTCACTGAAATATAACACCGTTTACAAAATCGAATTATTTTCGGTTTGAAATGTAATCATAATCATATGAAAACGAAAGCTAAGATATCAAGAGAATGGGAAGTTATAGATCTTCACTAAGGCAAATATTGTTTTGATTAAAATGCTGGTGCATTAATTTTCCTCTACATTCTATAGTTTGACAGAAAATCACAAAAAAATATTGAAAAAGAAAACATGAAAAAAAATGAAATAAATCCTTCACCTTAAACTTCACTTGAAATGAAATGAATTTGGAACAACAAATTGGACGAATGAATTTAGAAAAATTTAATCAGATGAAAACAGTTTTTAATTAAATAATTTCCACAAAAATTTCATTTCGGAAAATTCATATTTATAATTATTATCTTTTAATATATCTGAATTTTTCTCAATTTTCTTACCTTGCCCATTCCTCTCCTTCAAACTTTAGGTTAATTTCTTCAGTTTTGATCAGCTTTCCTTCTGCCTCCTGCTCTTCTTTAATATTAACAAACTCAATCTTTTCACAGTGTACATCTTTCTCATTGTTTTCACTTTTGATAAACGTGTTGCAGGCACCGAAAGCTGTGATTTTGTTGTCAGCTATATTGTGAATTGTAGTCGCAACATTCAAGCAGGTCCTTATAAAAGTATCGTAAACAGCGACTGAATCAAGACATTGCCTACAAATAACGGGATCTTTGGTGACTGCAAAATTCTACAACACAAGAGTTCATATTGGTATGTCTTTAAAAAATTTATATTTACGTACCACTTCTGGGATGTATCTACTAATCATCTCTAATTTTACGTCATAAAGTGACATAAATCCTTCCCAGATTAATTGCAAACACAATCGACAAATTTTCTGATTATCTTCCATTTTAACTAATGGTTTGTTTTCGTGTTCCTTTAAATAAAGTTCCCTTAAATCGACGAAGGGTACTTTGGAATTGACACAAGAAACAATCTTGTCCTCAATGTGGAGGCAAGCGGATTTAAAGTTGAAGGACGAGTATAATTTCATAGAACAGGTTTTACACATGACGTGTTTATAGTTGTTGTCCAAGTCCTGAAATATTTTTTACTAAAATAAGATGATTTGACTAGCAGAACTGATTAGGTACCATGAATTCATAAAAGTTAAGTAGTTATCTTAAAATGTAAAAATTAATAGTTATAATTGAACTTACCGGATTAAGTGAAACAGTCTTTAAAATTTCTCTTATAGATTCATCTATTACTGTAAAATTTTCTTTGCTCACGGTATTCATGCAAAGTCTGCAAAATAACTCTTTCGAAACTTCCATTTATGTATTATTTTTCCCTTTAACTTTACAATTTATAAATTTGTAACCTACAAACCTACATCTATTTTTCTAAATTTAGGGTAGTTCTCTTTGTCTTTTCATCCATAGATAAGAACTTTTCATCTGCTAACAATTAAAAAAGGACATAAAACAAAAACATCCAAAGCATCTAGATGTTAATTCCGAACTTGCCCTCTGTATCGATGGAGTTTACTGAACTATTATTGTCAAAACGAAAGCACCTCTAAGGGGGCTTTCGTTTTGGCAAAATTAGTATGTACATATAAGCAACTAATATCAGTTCAGGGTAACTCTAAGTTGCTATTAGCTACTAATAGTTACTATTATTGCCAAATCGAAAGGAACTTTGATCTGTGAATGGAAATATTCTCAGAATATCCTCTGAGATTGATCAAACTTTGAGTTACTATTCTGCTCATAGTTAATCTGTGTTATAATCGAAAATTAACAACGTTTTTGATTTCTCGAATCTTAAAGAATGGAAATATTCTCAGAATATGCAGAAATACTAAAAAGTAAAAGACGCTGTATACTCTAGTTATACTGTTCAGCATGAGTTTTACATGATGCAAAAAGTGCAATAACATCGAACAGGGCTAATAACTGGTCAGTTTTCTGAACGCGACTAACCACAAAATGACAAATTAAATATAGGTTATTGTTGTTAACTATATTATATTTAGGTAGAATACTTAAGAAGAAAAAATTAATTCATAAATGGAAATTTGTAAAGGTATATTTTGCAAACTCTGCATCAGTACTGTGAGTAACGAAAATTTTACAGTAATAGAGGAATCAACAAGAGAAATTTTGAAGACTGTTTCACTGAAATTGGTAAGTTTGTTTAAGTCCCTATTTATTTTTTAATACTGTAAGATAAGATTATTAAGATCGCTCAACCTCAAAGTGAGTCAGAGTAACATATTTATATTAGTATTAGTCGTCAAACAGTTTTAAATAAAAATATTTCAGGGGTTGGACAACTATAAAAATGTCATGTGTTCTACCTGTTCTTATAAACTGTACTCTGCATTTGACTTTAAATCTACATGTCTCTACGTTGAGGACAAGATTGTTTCTTACGTTAATCCCACACTGACCTTCGTCGACTTGAGAGAAGTTTATTTAAAAGATCAGGAAAACAAGCCATCGGTAAACATGGAAAATGATCAGAAAATATATCGATTATGTTTGCAGTTAGTTAGCGAAGGAGGATTTATATCGTTTTATGAAGTGAAGTTAGAGGTGATTCGTAGATGCCTCCCGGATATGGTAATTACCATTTTATGCTCATTCTAAAAATCAATACCACTACCTTTATGAACTCTTGTATTGTAGAATTTTGGTATCACTGAAGATCCCGTCATTTGTAGGCAGTGCTTTGATAAACTAAACATCCACGATGCCTTCATAAGGACTTGTTTGGATGTTCAATCAAAAATTTATAACAGATGTGACGACACTCTTAAAGGTTTCGAGCATATCAAAAGAGAAAACAATGAAATAAAATTAGAACAGATGAAGGAGGGGTTAATTAAAAATGAAAACTATCTGGAGATGGATGAAGCGCTGATCGAAACTGAAGAAATTAATATAAAATTTGAAAAGGAGGAATGGGAAAGGTGAGAAAGTTGAGAAAAATTGAGATAAACAGGGTTTGGTCAAAAAGTAACAGGAAATTGTACATTTTTTCTGATTTTTCAATTTTTCTATATCTTAGGGTTTTGGTTACTATGAAATTAAAAATTAGGTTAAGGCTACTGCATAATTTAATTTTAATTCACTCTTAAAACCAATTATTTTTAAAGTAGTACAGTGTATTATAGTTGGATTTAATCTTCAGTATGAAACAAAAAGATAAGAGGTGTTGTAAATAATTTTCTTGACACATGACTTGGCAAACTTTCAATTTATCGACGCAAAATAGCAAAAATATGATTTGCTTTTCTAATTGATTTCATTGTGCAACTGTCGAGCACCTATCACAATACAGGCAATATTTGTATTTAGGATTTTACTCTCTGATGATAGCAATAAATAGTTCTAAAATGCCTACATTCTTAAAAAAATAGGCAACCGAATGACCCTCTATCTTTAGCCTATATGTTCCATCCATAAAATTCTATTATGAACAATTTAATTTTTTTTCAGTAATTACTCTTTGTATGACGTACATAATGAAGCAATCAAAAATAAAATGAAGACCACTTATGACATAGCAAAAATAGAGAATGAAGATATAGATGTGTGTGATAGGGAAGTCCAAGTAAGCAAACCCAATGTTCCATTTAATGCGCCGTCGTATAATAGTGATTATAAAAACGAATGTAACAGTGGTCTAGAACAGGAAGCCGCTCCGGGACTTACACATCGCAAGAAAAGTTCCAAATCCCATAACTTAATACTCCGAGATCTTTCTAAAGCACGAACGTACAAATGTAATACGTGTGATTATGTAACCAAATATAGGGGCGATTTGAGGAGGCATCAGTTATCTCACAAAGACCCTTCAGAAATCCAAATGTACAAATGTGATACGTGCAATTATGAAAGTAAACGTAGGTGTGATCTGAAAAATCACCAGTTAACGCACAAAGACACCTCGGAAATCCAAATGTACAAGTGTGATACTTGTACCTACGAAACTAAATATAAGAAACATCTAAAGCCACATCAGTTAACACACAAAGATTCTTCTGAAATCCAAATGTACAAGTGCGACGCATGTACTTACGAGAGTAAGTTTAAAAGGAACCTAAAATTGCATCAGTTAACACACAAGGATTCTTCAGAAATCAGAGTATACCATTGTGATACTTGCACCTTTCAAACTAAACACAAGCACCGTCTAAAGTATCATCAGTTACTCCACAAAGACCCCTCAGAAATCCAAATGCACAAGTGCGATACGTGCAGCTTTGAAACTAAATACAAGCGTGCTCTAAAAGTACATCAGCTGATACACAAAGACCCTTCGGAAGTCCAAATGTACACGTGCGGCAAATGTAACTTTAAAACTAAGTACAGGGACAATATCAAAAGTCACCTACAGCTGCACGAGAACCCTTCCACGGCACAAACTTGGGAAGGTGATACGCTCAACAGCACTGTCGGTAAACAGTATCCTTTATGTAATCCGTCTATATATCCTACACAAGTTCAAGTATACAGATGTAACGAATGTGTCTTCGAGAGCACTTATAAACAGAGCTTAAGGAATCATATCTTGAAACACCGGGATCCCTCGAAAGTGCAGATGCACAAGTGCGATAAATGCGTCTTCCAAACTAGACATAAGCGTAGTTTACCTAAACATCGGTTAACGCACAAAGACTCTTCGGTAGCGTAAGTGTGCACAGGCAATTATATACAATTTTTTGGTGATCGATCGATCAATTTGAATTAGTTGAAAGTTGGAAAATAATAATGAAGACTTTTATTGGTTAAAATAAATTTAACCACGTCAAGTTCGAAAACGCTCGAGAAATTCCCATGAAGACGCAATTCTGTTGACTTTGTGTTGATCGGTGAGCTGTTTTGGTAACCAAGTGTTTCAGTAATCATTTCATGCAAAAGGGATCCGTAGATTTGTAGAAACACTGGGCTCATCTTGGCAAAGTGTCAATTGATGGTCACCATGAAGAATTTCTTTGATCTTGTTCGCCATCTCGTTTGACTGAGACAAATGAGTGCACATTCTATTCTCAACACCTTGGCCTTGAATGCATGTTGCCAACTTTGTTGAAATCAAAAACCACAGAGGAGTCTCGGTACTCTTATTTTGTGGATCTGCCTCGTAGAACCACAGATTATGGAGTCTATTTGAATAATCTAGGGAACAGTAAAAAAAAATTAATTTAATTTATTGTGCAGTGTGATTATTGCAGTTAATATTTTGTATTGTTGGAACTACAAAAAATATATATCTTTTACATTTATTTGTTCACATTCGGTGAATCATGGAAATAACGGTATTATATCTTCAAACATTTATTCATCAATAATTTCACCGTCCCTATCATCGACTAAAATGAATCAGATCAACTTGAAATTATCGACATCTATCTATCATTTTTCCCGTTAACATTTTTCTGAAAAATAAAATCTAATTAATAATATTTTTCCTGCTAATGACATTTTTTTCACGAGTCAAAACTCCAATTTTCGTTTCTGGAAGAAAATGAAAATGTAGATTTGCGGTTTTCTTAATGAAAACACTACATTAACTAAATTTACAAGAACTTTCTTAATTTATTTTAATTTCACTGGAATGTGTTTTGTACATAGCAAAATATATTTAAAAAACCAAAATAAAATGAGAATATTTTTAAATACATAAATCAATATCGAATATATAATAAAATTGTAGTTATTCAGGGTGATTCAGAACTTATCTAAAAAAAAATTCTGGATGTACAGGGGACCCTTACAAATACAATTTTGTAAAGAAAAAATCAAAAAGGTCAGTTCGAAAATGATTTAAAAATACACTTCTGCACGGCACTGGAAACTGGTCCACTGTAAGACCTGACCTAGTACAATGCGACCGACATGGCGGTGTGATTAAAAACGAACATAAACTTTCGCAATGAAAGAAATATGTAAATAGAATTTTATCGCACCTATTTTATATGGGCAAATTCAACTGCTTTTGCCTTTATTAATTAATAAAATTAATTTGTGTTTTTAAATAATAAAATCATTTGACATACCCAATGTTACAACAATTGTTCAAAATTTTATCCACCAATGTGTAAACACATTTGGGTCCGTTGTACTCAGTTTCTAGGAACTAACACAAATGTCTTGTTTCACCATAACACAAATGCTTCACCATAAATTAAAATGATATCCATCAACTCCGAGTACATGCAAACCATTTTTGACACAAACTACCCATTTTTGACACTAACTACTAAAAACCTGTTGTAATCACCACAGATAACAAGTAAATATCGCAACGACGATTGCAAAATCCGAATTCAGTATTCCGAGTCGCTGAGGCCAGTTGGCGAATGACGCTAGAGACTACAGTTGTCCAGCTATGTAGTGGTTGAATGTCCTGTAACTTTAATATTTTTTTTCTCGGAAACTATAAGGATTTTACAAATTTTTTTATTTACGATATTAATTCCATTTCTCATGCTGCATCTATTCCCAAATTTTTTTGGATAAGTTGTGAATCACCCTGTATATACTGAGAGGGGAATTTTTGTGAACTATTTTGGTTGTGGTGGCACTTGCAAATTCTGAAGCTTGCCATATTAGAGTAACAAAAACAAAACACAATATAACATATTTAAATAAATCTTAAATTAATTTCGAGGTCCCCGATTCTTCAAGACCCAAAGCAACTACTTCATCTGCCTTTTGGATAATCCGCTGCTGGCTAGTGGTAATTATTTAAATGCATTTGTGTAATTTATTTTCTAACAATTAGGTATTTGGTTTCATTAAATGGTACATTGGGGAACTTTACTCCCAATTCCCAATAAGTTTTTAAATAGACACTAAAGATATCTTCATAAAAGAACATAAACTTGTTAATTTATAACATTTGTAATAAAAAAATATGTTTTCTGTTTTTCAATAAAATTATTAAATGATTGGTGCGTTTTACTATTACATTTTTACATGGGCGTAGCTAGGGGGGGGGGAGGTGGCGAGACTGTGCATGGCCCACTCTAGAAAACCTGGTGCCTACTCCAGAAAAAAAGATCTAGTCATATCACGTAAGTCGGTGACTGCGTGTTCAAATAATGGGAAGTCGCTGATTGCGAGAGCTTTTTTTATTTTAAATTTTTTTTTTAAGAGGCATTCAAAGTGCTCGCAGCGCTGGGCCTACCCCAAGCAAAAATTGTAGCTACGCCCATACATTCTATAATTTGTTCAGTCCATATCTTTACCCCTCATTGTATTTGCAAGGATTAGCCCAGAAGTCGGTGAATGGGGCGGTATATTATTATTGAATAGGCCGCATGTGCGCCTAGGAACGATTTATACAGGGTGTTTGTAAATAAGTGCTAAATATTTTAGGGGGTGGTTGCCGAAGTTATTTTGGGAACGTAGGTAGAAATATGCCTCGTTTCCGACACAGACTGATAAATTATAATTTTTTATTTATTTTTATTTTATAATTATGTCGAAGTTTTAAAAATATTTACTCAAAATTGATGATCCGAATATTTCTGCTTGCACCAGTGGCGTTCATACCAGAATGCCACAACCTTTTTTAATAGGAAAAAATGGTACGCCACATATTTTTTCTCGTTTTGATATTTTTTAGGAATCTGCCATCAATTCTGAATGAAAATGGTCTCTTCAATTTTTTCGGAGGATGCACCATTTTTGAGAAAAAATAAAACATGTTTTATTGCAAGTTGTGTATTTTTAATTTCCATTTATACATTATCTAGTAGGTTGCTGTCAATATTTCTAAATAAAATACAATAACCATCAAATTTCGAGTTAATATCTTTAAAATTCTTTGAAATAATTAATAATAAAAAAAAATTGAAATACTCTGTATCTCGGAAACGAAGTATATTTCGACCTACGTTTAATGTTTATATGAACTTTTTTTCACAAAATAACTTCGGCAACCACCCCTTATAAAATTTCGCACTTATTTACAAACACCCTCCATAAGCATTATACTGGAGTCTGCATACGTCTGTGTCTGTTGGAAACAGTTGATTTGGGTTGTTCCCCAAACAAAGCTATAATGTAACAATGCAAACTCTGACTGTTGGGCGGAATTTGTATACTAAGCGTATATACGAAATTTTGGAAATAGAAGATTTATGCACGTCAGGTTAGTTAAGTATGATATAATACTTAAAAATTGTCACTTTAAATTGGATTTTAAATCCAGTTCACGAGAAATTATTGCCCGTTCCTAAGGGGCGGAGTTTATGTCTATTCTATTTGGGAAAAAAAACTTGCCTGTCAGTCCAATCCAAACATATTTATAACCATAGGTCTATGTTTATTGTTTATGACAATTAAATACAGGTTATAAATTATATTTGGAATATGGTTTTTAAAATAATCGAATAGATAAATCATATATTAATGGACGATTCTAAAGGAATCTTTTGCAGCCTTTGCATTAATACTGTGAGCAATCAAAATTATACACCGGTAGACGAATCCACAAGAGAAATTTTAAAGACCATATCACAAAATCTGGTAAGCTGTTCATTTAAAACTATTACTTTTGAATATTTTAAGCTAAGAGTGTTTAACTTCATAGTGATTCAGAGTAACACATGTATATTAGAATTACTAGTCAAACAATTTGATGATAAAAAATATTTCAGGTCTTGGACAATAACTACAAACATGACATGTGTTCTACCTGTTCTGTTAAACTGTACTCTGCATTTAACTTTAAATCCACTTGTCTCTACGTTGAGGACAATATTGTTTCTTATGTTAACCCCGAAGTGTCCTTCGTCGACTTAAGAGAAGTTTATTTAAAAGAGCATGAGAACGATTCGTTGGTAAAAATGGAAGATGATCAGAAAATATGTCGATTATGTTTACAATTATGTAATGAAGGATGTGTGCAATTTTATGATGTGACCCTTGATATGATTCACAGATGCCTCCCAGATGTGGTAAATATCCAATTTGTGCACATTCCAAAGCTCAAAAACTTACCAATATTTTTACAAACTCTTGTGTTGTAGAATTTTGATGTCACCGAAGATCCTGTCGTTTGTAGGCAATGTTTTGATTCGCTAAGCATTCACGATACTTTTATAAGGGCCTGTTTGGATGTTCGGTTAAAAATTTATAATATAGATGACGGCAGTATCTCAGATTTCAAGCATAATGACATATTTATTAAAAGCGAAAACGATCGAGTAAAATTTGAAGATGAACAGATTAAGGAGGGGTTAGTTAAAGTTGAAAAAGAGCTCAAAACAGATGAGATGCATATTGAAAGTGATGAAATTGACATAAAATCTGAAGAAGAGGAATGGGAAAGGTAAGAAAGTTTACAAATTTAGATAAAAATATAGTTATAAATAAACTGTATCAGTAAATTACAGGAACTTTAAGAAAAGTAGTTGTAATTTTCTTTTATTTTTGTAAAAGCAATAAAATTTAGTAGACTGGTTATTTTATAATTCATTTATGACGAGATATGAAAATCTGTATACTACAATCCATTTACAGTTAGATATTAATTTCCGTAGCGTTGCTTTAATTTATTTTTCCTCTAGTGCATTTTTCAGTAATATAATTACACAGGGTGGCCACCGAGGTTTTCGAGGTAGTTTGTATATGTATTCTATGACTAATTTTACTCAAAAATGATGATTCTATTCACTTTTCCTGAATTCCTAATGGTTCTTGAAATATCAGGATTTGAAGTTGACAGGTCGTAGGAGTAATTGCTAAAGATTAAATTATATTGTTGCGACTAGGAGGTTAGACAAAAAATGTGGCTTATTTTAATAAAAGTATGATGACTGTAATGATTAGAGCCACTCAATGTGGCCACCGATGACTTCATTATTAATTATGCCAGCCCAAACATTTACGGAGCTTCTTCTCAATTGTCAATGATGAGAATTAACGAACCGACAATCAACAATTTTTTTCTAATCTCAGCCAAGTTGCTAATTAGTAAATTGCATAGTCACAATGTAATTTACACTTTAGCAAACTACCCATTTGACCTGGCAACTTCAAACCCCGATATTTCAAGACCTGGTGGAAATTCGGGAAAAGTCAATAGAGTCATTTTTGCTTAAAATTAGTCATAGAATTCATACACGAAGTATCTTAGGTGCCTTGGCAGCCATCCTGTATAAAATGTTTAATATGTTCACCGCAGCCATTATTTTTCCTGACTGAATTTTCACATTCACGCGTTACTGAGCATATTTGTGTCATAAACATGATGATATATATATTTTTTATTGCCATTTTATAAGCCATTGTTAGCAATTGTAATCTTTTCAGTGCTATGCAAAAATGTGAGGCAGAAGATGGTCAAATAATCATGGACGAAGCTCGATTAGATATTCCATTATATAAGAATGAATACAAAAATGAGTTTAACAGTTGTCTCAAACAGGAAGCTGCTCGGGAACTTATACATCATAAGAAAAGTTCCGCCCAGTGCCAGTTACTAAGCAAATACCTTTCAGAAACTAAAACGTACAAATGTGATACATGTAGTTATGAAACTAAATATAAAGGTCACCTAAAAGTACATCAGTTATCACACAAGGACCAGTGGGAAATCCAAATGTACAAATGTGATGTTTGTACTTACGAAACTAGGTATAAGAGTGGTCTAAAAGTGCATCAGTTACTGCACAAAGATCCTTCGGAAATCCAAATGTTCAAATGTGATATATGTGGTTTTGAAAGTAAATATAAGAGGGGCTTAAAATTGCATCATTTATTACACAAGGACCCTTCGCAGATCCAAGTCTACAAATGTGATGTTTGCACTTATGAAACTAGATACAAGAATGGTCTAAAAGTGCATCAGTTATTGCACAAAGACCCTTCGGAAATTCAAATGTACAAATGTGATGCATGTAGTTTTGAAACTAAATATAAAAGGGGTTTAAAACTGCATCAGTTATCACACAAAGCAAATAAGTATAAGCATCGCCTAAAATATTGTCAGTTACCACACAGAAACTCTTCAGACATCCAAACTTACAAGTGCAATACATGTGGTTTTGAAACAAAATATAGACGTGCTCTAAAAGTACATCAGTTAAGGCATAAATACCCTTCAGAAATCGAAATGTACAAGTGTGATGAATGTGGTTATACTGCTAAGTATAAGGAGGATATGGAAAACCATCAATTGACACACGACAATTCTTCCACAGAATATGGATGTTCTTCAGATGTCCGAATATTCAGATGTAACGAATGTGTTTTTGAGACCCCATATAAAAATAGTTTAAAATTTCACATGGTAAAACACCGAGACTCCTCCAGAGTTCAAATGTACAAGTGTGATAAATGTGTTTTCGAAACAAAACATAAACGAAGTCTGACTAGGCATAAATTATCACACGAAAAGTCTTTGTTAACGTAAGTATTAATTTAATTAATTCGTTAATATTAATTGTATAATACAATGGTATCGTGTTAATAGCACTTGGTGAACATTAAAATGGTCATATTTTGATAATTAAGCATGGATACCATTCCTTTATATATTTATAAATACAAAGCCAAACATACACCTCTACAGATATTTGACATTTGTTAATCTTGAAATATAAACCTGAATATATTTTTATTGGATGTAAAAAATATAATTTTAATCCATAAATTCCTTAAATATTATTCAGTTCTTATTTTATTAAAGCACAATTTTTTTTTCATCGTCAATATAAAAAATAATTTTGAACAGTTTATTAAACTGTAACCCTAAATTTTAATTTAAAATAGTAGAGGCAGTGAAATTTTAGTAGACCTAAAAAGAATACCAACAAAATTATGTGGCATACTTTCTCATCCTGTATAGTACAATTAATTTGTCATAATGGCACAGAAAATTGTAACTGACAAAAGTTGAATTTGTCAATAATGTGATGCAAATTGTTCTGAAATCGATTAATTTGTTCCGACTTTTTCAGTGATTCCTCTTCGAATGACTTATGTAACGAAGCTATCGAACAAAAAATGAGTTGTACTTATGATGATGTGGGAGTTGAAATAAGCAAATGTGCAGCTCCGTTAGATGTACCGAAGATCCACATGTACAAATGTGATCTATGTAATTTTGAAACCAAGTTTAGAAGCAATCTAAAACCGCATCAGTTAAAACACAAAGATTCTTCAGAAGTACAAATGTACAAATGTGATGATTGTGCTTATGAAACTAAATATACGAATCGTTTAAGAAATCATCAGTTAAAGCACAAAGGTCCCTTGGAAGTGCAAATGTACAAGTGTGATATATGTAGCTATGAAACTAAATATAAGCAGAATATCAAAAAGCATCAATTAGTACACGAAACTAAATATCAAACTGTGTCTAAAACTGCATCAGTTACTCCACAAAGGCCCTGAGGGAATCCAAATGTACACATATGTATCAGTTAATGCACAAAAATCCTTCAGAAATTCAAATGTACAAGTGATACCTGTACCTATAAAACTAAATTTCAGAAGAATCTGGAGGCATGAGCGGAAGTATAACGGTCATTCCAAAATCCAAATGTATGAGTGTGGTGCACATCATCAATACTCACAGTTGTCACTATCTAAGCGTTCTTCGAACATTGTAGGTATTGCCCAAACACAACACATACAACGATCTAGGCACAAAAACCTTTTGGTAGCATTTAATTAACATTTTATGGTTCTGACTATATTTGCCAAATAAACTTTTTGAATTTATAAACCAGAAATTCCCAGTATCTGGAAATTTAAAATCAAGGTCAGTTTTTTTATCTGCCTTTTTTTCTTATTTTTGACATTTTTAAGTAGCTCTGGCAATTATGAATTATGAGTGGAATGTGCTATCATTAATTTTATGCCGTCAAGATCCAAAGGGCATTGCGATCGACGACTTTTTATCTGACTAATTACGTATTTCTTATTTATTACATTTACATCTTTTACCACCCAATTACAATAGTTACAATAGTTTAACAAATTGCCTCCTTTTGAAACAATGTCAGATCTAACTACATCGACTGCGTTGTCCCCTAACTGTAAATGACCTAACTTGCCCTAAAACTTTTGGCAATGTCAACAATGAGACGGACCCTCTTGCATTGTATATCTAATGGCCCCATCGATGTTTCTATAGTGTAGGTATAAAATGCAATAGATTTAATAATCTGAAACTTATTTTTTTTTTACCGTGATCCGAAAACGATGATAAAAATACATCAATAAACAAATAAAAATAAACATGTTAGATTTTTTATTTTATATTGCAGCTACCAAATTAGGAATTTTTGAAATATTCGCTTCTCACTATAGAGATCTCGGAAACGGTAAGAGATACGAAGTAGCTTAAATGAGGCAAAGTTGCATAATCAGAGGCCTCCAACTTTTGGCACTCTATCGAATGGCATAATCAATTTTTATATCTAGCATTTTGTCTCTCCAGGACCACCATCAACTTCATTTTTTAAATACGACCCTGGAAATTATATTTTGCAAGCCTTCATGACCCCCAATACTGTACTGCCTCAGCCCAAACCAGATTCAGACGATTTGTCCCGAAAAATTCATCTTCAATGTATTTGTTCCAAATTTATCTAAACCTTTTATTTAGATTTCTATGTTTATTGAATTATCATATACTTTAAGTGTTGTTAGACCCTGTGAAATCCACCTAATTATTTAAACTATTACCACCACGCGTTACAATAAAACATTATTAGTGTTTTAATCAGGGCCCATAGTTATTTCTAGGCTTCTCGAGTGCTCAAAATTCAAACAAATTTCAATCCAATTTTTTTCATGATATTCATACAAATACATCTGACATGCTCTTTCATAGTTACGGTTAGAGGTATAATAAATTCCGATCATACGAGTATTAAGCTTATTTTCATTTTCAACATTTGCCAAACCGGAAACGTTTTTGAACATTTACTGTAATTTTTTAAAGTATAATATTCGGAGTTTTGGTTGTTCATATGCATTTTTAATTAATTTGTCATAATGAAATAGAAATTGTAATAATGTTTTAATTTTGCAGCAACTACTTGCCGAATTATGTATGACCAGGTGATGGAGATTAAAACTCCACTAATGGTTTATTGTAACGTGTGATGGTAATAGTACTTGGAAATCTAAAAAAAAAAATAGATAAATTTTGAACAAACACATTGAAGATGAACTTTTCCAGACAAAACGTCTGAATCTGGTTCGGACTGAAGTAGTATTGGGGGCCATGAAGGCTTGCAAAAAATGTATTAAAATTTCGTCATATTTAAAAAAAAAATAAATTGATTATGGTCCTGGAGAGACGAAACGTTATATATAGAAGTTGATTATGACATTCAATAGAGGGTAAAAAGTTGCCATGAGAGAGTTCTTTTTTCACCTCAAACGACTGATATGAAATAAAAACAATTTCCAAAATTTCGGTTTTTTCGAATATTTCGAAAACTAATCATGTTAGTCTTGATTTTTTAGAGGCTTAATGTTGGTCCCCTGAATATGCAACTTTCCCTCAGCTACTTCGTATCTCTTACCGTTTCCGAGATCCCTGTAGTGAGAAGCGAATTTGTAACAGCCTGATAGATTTAAATAAGTGCGAAATTTAAAATATTTAATATAAAAATATGTCTGATGGATTTATCCATTTATATTATTCACTCCTCAGATATTAATAGCAGTGAGAAAAACCTTTAACGAACATAGAACCAAAAATTGTCATTTAACGATTTAGATCCATCTACAAACTCTCGTGTAGATGGATCATAGTGTAGTTAAGAAGACGCCAAATGTACCAGAAAATCTTCATCTCTAGCACTCTGGCATTCCGTTCAGTGCATATGAGTAATATTTATTTACTCATATGGAGAAGTGTACTAGAATTGCACCCCTTTTTATTTTATTATTTTATTCAAAATTTAATCAACAGCGCACCTTACGATGAGTTCCCGTACTAATGCACAAACCTAAAAGCACATGTTAAAAGTCAAAGGTAAGCATTCTCATATTCATAGACCTTGTAAATAGAGGTGCACGATGCTTCAACAGATACCGGTACTGGCATGTATGTATTTTTTAGCTTAAGAAG